AAAAAAAGCTGTAGTTCAGGTATATCACCTTTCTTCCCAAACCTACCTGCTTCTTACTGCAGAGAGAACCTGCAAAATATATGCATGTTTGTTGCAAGATTACTAATGATCTCGTAGGCTCCCATTCCCTTGTAGGCAGTAGACATTCCAAGGCATTCCATGCTTGACTTACATGGCATTCCAAGCTCACACCTTAAACACCTCCCCGAACCCTTCCCTTTCCCATTGGCCCCGGAATAGTGTGGAAGTGCAAACCTTCGTAGAATGTATACTGATATACTTGTAAATCTTTCAGTGAAATTGGAAGTTATCCTTTGGTCCTTTATCCTTTCCCATGAGTTCCCCTCCCCCCCCCTTTACCCCAGCTAATGTGCAACAAGAAGAATAATGGAAAAAAAAAATGGTGATAAAAACTAATAATACTGAATATAAAAACACAAAAAAAAAATTACCAAAACTTGCAAAAAAGAAATGTGATCAAAATATTGAATCTGAATGTATTTTTATGCACCAAAATCCAAGTTTGCTGTTATTATACAGATCTACTCCTGTAACACATGGCCACTTTTGCTCACATGAAATTATATATGCTTCTGGTATGTAGATTTCAGTATTTTTCAAGCTTGTAAGTGTCATTGCTTTATTAATGTTCCCAGAATTATACTTCCTCACTTTAACATTTTTGAAGGTTTGTTATATGTACGTTCCTATAGCATTATTGTTATAATTTTTCTCTTACCCCATAGAGACCAAAGACATGAATAGTTAATGGATATTTCCATGTCATGTAATTTGTCACCTGAGATAAACTTTTACCTGCTGCCGTTTCCTGCTAATAGGTATTCCCTTTCCATTTTATCATCCTGATCAGGTACCAAATGTATCAGTACAGTGTAGGCAAAATAATAGTTTGATGCTAGTACCAATAAACACTAACGCCTCATGTATGTGAACCAAGTTTGTGCAGTTGTGAATGTCTACCAATGTGGTTTTTATCTTATGGCTAATAAAGGAAAAAAAAAAAATCTATGAGTATTTCTACAACCTCCTATATTCCCCGATTAAAAAAAAAAAAAAAAAGATTTTTGTATTTATTTATTCATCTTAACATATATATGAGGAAATGGATTGTTCAGGTCCTATGTATTGTCTCTAAAAATACTGAAGTAAAATAAACAAAGTATCATTAATTCATAAACAATGAATATAGACACATATGTTTATTGTCATTTTTCACTTATCCTATAACGATTCTGGAGTAGTAAAAAATTATAATAAAATTTTCAATGAAGTATCTTTCTTGGTTCTAATTACAACTTAAGAATATAGATCTTGCCCTTCTTTTTCACAATTAATATCATATCAGCCACAATGATATTTCTTTTAGATTGAATGTCAAAAAACAGATACGGATTTTCTTATTTCAAAATCACACAACCAATTTTTATCACATTCTAAAAAGCACCAAATGCACAAGAGAAACATACATAAAATTATTTTACACTGAGACTCATAACTCAGTGTTTCCGAGTACATAAGGGACTGTCTGCTGTAATACTGTTAACGCATAGATGGTGCCACAAGTACCCAATCACCGAGCAGCCAATAAGTAGGTCCAACATGACGGTGCCTAATTTCCCCATTCTTTGAATTTTCGGGATCTTTTTTTTTAGTACTGTTAGCATCAATACCATTGTTACTGATATCATAATTATGTCATTAAATAATAATTAATTCAGAATAAAAAAAATGAATCTTCCTGAGAATCAAGGAGGGGTAAATAGGTGAGACAGGTAGGACTAGTTATTGACTCCTTGGTGACAAAGTTGTCAGTGGATATTGCAATTGTGTACAAGCTATCCTCAGCAGCAATGGGTTAATTAGGAAGCACCAAAACAAAGGTAAGGCTACAAAGGGACAATTATTTCACTCGGATTGAAGGAGTAATACCCTTGAAAAAGGTTAAGGACAAAAGGAAATAAACTAAAAGATTCTGATAATAACAAAAACAAGTATGACCAAATATATGAAAATCTTGGCAGTGCTGATTTATAAGAGTACAGGGAAAATAGTATACATATAGATCCAAAGCTGTACACATTCTCAACATGCTTAAAACTTTAAGTAGATTAAAACCCTAATTTCTTTTGGGCAAAGACATTTGAAAACCGTACCACAAGATAACAATGTTTACTCAGTAGAACAAATTGGATTAGCATCTTTTTACCAAATTTAATGAATGAACATGTTTTTAACCTTTTACTTTGTTTTAATATCATATATTGTTTGAAACTTTGTATTGTTAATCACAGCTTTTTCAGGATTTTAATTACTGCAAAGAATTTATTTTTAATGCAGTTGTGCTTTACTTTCTTTAAAAATGTTGGTGAAGATGGAGAAAAATATACATCAAATACTGATTTCAAAGATGGCAAAACCTCAAAGAATATGTTTTGCAGTATGCAACGGAACTTAAAATGAAGTGCAAAAAAATTATAAGGTCAAATAATGTCCCACTGACCTCAATGATTATGATTCTTCAGTATGCAGTATAGCTTATAGTGAAATGTAAAAAAAAAAAAATTATAAAGTCAAATAATGGCCCATTGACTTTAATATTTGAATTTTATACATCTATCAAATGGAAAATACTCAGTGAAATTATTGAATACTGAAACTTGGAAGCAACATGCAGCTGTCATTATGATTTTTTTTATTAATAATGAAGCTAATAGTTTATTCTGACCAATAAAAAATATAAGCCTGTCTTGGAACAACTAAAAATTTATTACTTAACCCAATGCCACCGGGAAAATTTACTTTAGTCTTGTCATGTTAAATGTCTTTGCACATAGATGGCTCTGACAGCGCTTAGCTGTGACCTCACCTTTCCTTGAGTTGGCAGAAAAAAACCCTTTTTCATTAATGCTATCAATACTGATACTGTTATTTTTATTATAATCATTGTAATTACTATATTGTTATTGCTATTATTAAAAGCAGTATCAAATACTAGAAAATATTATTGAAAATCAAGGAAAAGGTTAAACAGGTGAGACAGGTACTTCTCGTAAAAGGCTCATCGGTGAACTAGTACTTGTGGAGCTATCTCTATGTAAAAACAATTACTAAATTAAACACGCAGTGGCCATGGCATCCCCGTCACATGTGGTTAACTTACTATGCAGACTAAAGTTTAACAAGACATGAGCAAAAATTTATAGCCACTTAATTCAGGCCTCTTTACTGTATTCCTGTGGCATGTAAGAATCTAGAATTGCTACTTTAATGTGAAAATTATAAATTCTTTATAACAAGATTAGGAAACAACTAAAAAGTAAACCGAAATAGTACCTTCCTTTCTTGGTTATTTTTATGATAACATGATCCCTCTACAAGGAATATTTATTTTCTATTAAGTCATTCTTTTGTAATAAGAAAAAAATTAAATAAATACTGCAAATTGATAAAATATATATTTACTTTATTTCCAGTTTTTTTCAAAGCAAGGTTATGTCTGAACTGAAGTTTGCTTTGACTTTCATAGTCTCAGAATTTTCTAATGATGGTCTTTTATTAAATGACTTACAATTCATAACCTAATACAGATATACAGGTCAAATTATTTTTCACTGTCTTTGCTAACATGGTATATTTGATTTTTACTTTCATGATTGGTACTTTTTAAATATTGTAACTAACATTTTGCATACTGATTTCTTAAAAAAAAAGTTTTTCTGCTATATTTTCTTCTTTTTTACAACTTAACATTTGATTTGTCTTTTTACATAATTACATTTTTTTCCTCTCATTACCAGTGCATCTTTCACAAATTATAAATTTATATGAATGAATCATTCAAATGAAAATCTATTTCTGTTTGCACTCTTCTTCAAATGTGATTTTCTGAACCCAATAACAGGAATTAATTAATTAATTAATTAATGTTTGAGAATAAATGTGCAAGACATCAAAGGTCATGTAGCACTATGGTAAACTATTGCGTCGGAAAGGGCAAAGGAGAGTTAAAGATTACGATAAAATGAGTTAGATGTCAAAGGTTTAAGGATGTTATAGGATAGTATGGTAGTGAAAAGGGCCAATAACAGGAATGTAAAGTATTCAATGTAACCTGCATATGCTACACAAAGGCATTTACAGCATTTAATGTATTTTCTGTTATTTGCAACAGAATTTGAGTCATATATGAGAATTCCTGTGCATGCATATCTTATATTTAGAAACAAATTTATTTTCAGGAACTTTACTTATTTGTCAATTAACTGTGCACCATAAGGGTGACCAAACTTCTCAATTTTGTAATTATTGGGTTGCGTTTCCCTTCTTCCATTTTATTTTAACATATCTCCTTCCCTTCATGTCTATCTTGTCTTTCTTCTCTATTTCCTTTCACCGTTTACTTTTAGTCTCACTATATCATTTTTTCAGTCTCTTGATTTATTGTTCTATTTTTTATCCACTATATAATCTCAGTCTCCTTTTATTATGATTTATTGTTCTATTTTTTATCCACTGCGAATAATCCCTCTTTTTGTGATTTTGTTTTATGCCGTTCTACTCTTTTCTTTTCTTTTTTTGTTTATTCTCGTATTATAACCATTTCAACCAAATTTATCCAAAGAAATTACAATTAAGTAATTTGGATGATGTTATAACAAAAATGTTAATGACATATCCTATACTGTGTAATAATTCATACCTTTTCAAAAAGTTTGCCTTACGCATTCTGATCCCATGTTTTTTGTGATCATTAATCATCATTAATCATTAATTATATATCATATATTAATGCCATACATTAAAATCTGAACTGTGACTATGTTTTATTTGGTAGACATATATCTGATTATTCTCTCGCAATCTAATAAATTTCTCAAACTTAACTGAAAAAGATTAATAAAACAGCATATTGAAGGGCAAAAGATGCAATAAAATAAAAAAAACAATAGAATGTCAGTGGGTGTAAAAAGAATAAAGAATAAAACCAAATATTTTAATATCACATTCATAACAAAGGTTAAGGACTCTACATAGTAGCACATGGTAAGGTATTTTTAGAAACATAAAGGTAACTGGAAATGCCTAACAAATGCTAACAAATGCAGACATTACATTATCCAGAATTCCGATTTTCTACAGCGCAAGCATTATTTCCTGATGCTAAGAAACAGCATTTCAAAGCAAAGGACAAAAATGCCCGCAAACCTCACTGGAAAAATGGACAAATAATAGAACAATGCTTTGATGTTCCAGTAGCCTAACACAACTACATAATTCATAACAACTCCAATATCAAATATGATATTGTTAATGTTCATCATTAGTTTATTACAAGGTTATATTCCCTTTTATAAATCCAAAATGTAAAAAAGTAGCAGCACCTGAGAGTTTCCATAAGAGACAATTACTCACACATAATTAAGTACAATGTAAACAGTATGCATTCAATATGAATCTTTAAATTACTCATCCAAAAACTCATGAACACCTTAATCTGTATGGCACCCTAACCAAAAATCCTGAAACAACATACACTTTATTATACTGCCGTTAAGATTCTTCAGTCGTAAGCGCCAGAAACTCCTCCTTTCTCTTTGTGTATTCATCCAGGCGGATCAGAGCGTAACTGGAAAAATACAATTTTATGCTAAAAGTTATAGTAACACAAATAGTCAATCTGTTGTCATTAGCTATTTGTCTGCATGCTCAAACACTTATGTGCACATGCCCACTCAACCACACACACAAACATGCACACACACTCATATATATACCCACATCTGTTTACATGTATACACACACACACACACACACACTCACACACACACACAGCACACACACACACACACAAACACTTGCACACATGCGCACTAACACTCGCACACATGCGCACACACACTCACACACATCACACGCACACATGCGCACACACACACACACACATGCGCACACACACTTGTACGCATGCACGCACCCTCACATGCATGCATGCACACACCGCAACACATACCCTCACACCCTCACACCCTCACTCACACCCTTGCACCCACACATGCACCCTTGCACCCACGCACATGCACACATGTGCCCTGGCACGCATTCACCCTTGCATACACAAGTCAAGATAAAATGATGCACTTACCCAAAAAAGTCAAAGTCAATAGCGGAGTGGCATGCCTGCAGCAGAGCCCACACTCCCCAGAAGACGTGAGAAGCGAGGGCAAACTTGTTCACCCAGACGTACCATCGACTGATCTGGCTTTCTTCCACTTTCTCTGGCAGCACACTCTGGTAGTAGGAGAGGTAGCTCCTTATCCAATTTCGTTGGAACTCCTCATTGGGGTATCTGTTGTAGTCAATATTTTCCATTCCTGAGGACAGAAAAGTTCTTTTTGGAAAACCTATGATCTTTCTGCCAAATTACAAAGTCACATTTAAAAAAAAAAATTCACTTTTATCATCAAAATATATGTGCAAAAAGAGAACCAGGAGTCAATCTGATAAAATTCTTGAATGTCTCTTTTTTCTATTGTATTAGAGTATATATATTGTATTATGTTACATGACATACACTTGTGTGGAACTCATGGCGAACAGATTGCAACAGGAACAACGAAGGGAAGGACAAGAAAACACACGAATATGCCATATTTGTGTGTTTTCTTGTCCTTCCCTTCGTTGTTCCTGTTGCATGACATACACTAAAGGTCTCATTACATATTACATCACACTATAGCACACAAATATCTTCAAGTCTTTCCACCATAATCTCAAGTTTAAAGTGCATCTCACTGGTCAGTCAAAACAACTAGAAAGAAAACTCCGCTCCCCCACTTACCGACAAACTCATTGAAATGATTGGCAATGTCATAGGGTTGATAATTAGAAGCTCCATACTCATAGTCGATAAAGCTAGCCTTCTTCGCTGATTTGTCCCATATCACATTACCCAAAAGGATGTCGTTGTGTGAGAAAACAACGGGACACCCTAAGCTACCTAAGTGACCTTCCAAGAGGTTTGTTTCTTCTTCCAACTTGCTCTTAGTGTAACCTTTGTCAACTAATCTGAAAGTAGAGGTGTACAAACATCTTGCATTTCATGACATCCTTGTAATGTGTATGATGAAATTTATACATTTTTAAAAAGCCCGACTGATACCTAATGGGATCAGAATTGACTGGTAACGGAATTCTCAAGCTTTAAATCTGAGTCTTATGCGCTTCAATTCTGCAAAACATGAGTGCATATCTGAAAGCATCGAGAGAATGTTCAAATTACTGTACAGTACCATGCTTCCGACATCCATAATACTATAATAATGCTACTATTTTTAAGTACACTGGACTCACCTCTGCTGCTGTGTGGCATCATTCATGGTATCCGGAAGCAGACTCAGGAAATGCCTTAACTTTGAGAAAAGCATGGGCTTTCCATCTCCTTCCTATTCAATCATAAAAAATAATAATCAACAGTTGTAATAATAATAAAAAAATATATAAAATAATAATGATAACAATAATAACTATAACATCAATAACAATAACAATAATAACAACAAAAACAATAATAATAAAAGAAGAATGATAACAATAATAATAATAATAATAATAATAATAATATCAATAATATGATAATAATATAATAATAACAATAAAACAATAATAAGAATGAAAAAATGTATACCAATAACTGTTTCTGACTCATTTACCGTGCATGATATGACAGCTCACAGCACAATATACATAATTTTATCGTCTGCATCAATCAATAAAAAACATAAAAGTGACAATAAAATCTGTTAGCCATATTCCTTGGTGAACGTTCCATTCATTTGGCCCCTTGACAGATATAAAAGGCAGACATCTTATAAACTTAGTGCAAATGAAGTCAACTCTATACTGAAACCTACAATTGCTTGTTCAATTCCTCTACACCCTCATTTAAGTTTAACACGACCTTTGGAGGATCATCTTCCAATAATATTTTCTTGTGTATCAATACAATGAAGTGTTGTTTCATATTTTCTGTTAATTCATTTTTTCCCCCGACAGTGAATCAGGCAGCGATACAATTATGCAGTGTTGTTTTCCTCAACATTTAGTTTTGTGAGCATAATAGAGGATTTATTGCATTTCAACAGTCAGGATGTCAGAAGAATCTCTTTAATTCTCTATGACACCAATACAACAAATTGGTCAACTAATGATGTATGACTATTCTACAATTACAGTTGCAAAATATATCAATTTCTATATAATAATATTTACATCACTCCTCCTGTGTGTATCAAAAATTCCTAATACTGGGTTAAAAAACAAACTCTATTTCAGCCCTGAACAAAAGAAAATTCCTGTGGAATTGGAAACAAAATTCACTTTCAGTATACAAACATTCCCTGAAATAAATACTCCTCAACTCTGAAACACATATCACCTCTTGACAAGAACAAAATAACTAAACAATAAAATAAAGAATAAATGAATTATCATTTTTTCAAACTTCCTTTCTGCTTTAACCATACCTTAATGTTATGCAATTTGGCTAATTCCCGAGTAATGTCCTTCCAAATGGGTTCCAGGAGAACGTCCACCTCAGACAAGGGATTTCCCTTCGTGAATTCGTAGCTCACGCCGTTGGAAAATGTTGCCAGTAGTTCAGGACCGCATCCTGCTTTGTGAAGCACCTGGGAACATAATCACTGTATAATATTTTTTTGTGAAATCTAACATATTTTATAAATACAGGAAAAAAAATCTCAACCATTTAAATCTATACATACACATTATATATCATCAAAAAGTTACTTATTATATCAAAATTACCTCAATATTTCTTCTCTCTGCATCTCTATCTATGAACATTTCTGTTTTGTTGCCATAAACTCGAACAAGAATCTGTTTTTCTCTGTCATCATACCAGACCCCTATTAGCTGGTTGGTAATCCCATCTGTGTATACCTGAAAATTATAATCTTTTTTTTTACTTCAACAGAGTACTTACTGTATGTAGGTCAAGCTTCAATAAATGTCAGGTGAGTAAATAAATAATGTTCAATATATCATATTCAATATCATATCAATAAAAATGTCATATATCACACAATATAAATGTATACAAGAAAATGTAATCTAAGAAAAACATTATGAGAGCTATCAGATAAACTGAGAATCATTAATATCTTACTAATGAATATCTTATCTATTACGAAATTCCACTGAATAATTAACTATTATCAGCAAGAATGTTTTGGTGCTACTGCTTCTCATCTCCTTGCCAGATACCTAATCTAAAACAAGATGTTAAGGTCCACTGAATTGCTGGGGAGGAGGAGGAAGAGGAGAAGGAAGTGGTAGAGGCGATGGAGGAGGAGGGGGAGGAGGAGGAAGAGGAGAAGGAAGTGGAAGAGGAGAGGGAAAGAGGAGAGGGAAGTGGTAGAGGCGATGGAGGAGGAAGAGGAGGAGGAGGAGGAGTTGGAGGAGGAAGAGGAAGAGGAAGAGGAAGAAGAGGGAAGAGGAAGAGGAAGAGGAGAGGGAAGAGGAAGAGGAAGAGGAAGAGGAGAGGAAGAGGAAGAGGAAAGAGGAAGAGGAAGAGGAAGAGGAAGAGGAAGAAGAGAAGAAGAAGAAGAAGAAGAAGAAGAAGAAGAAGAAGAAGAAGAAGAAGAAGAAGAAGAAGAAGAAGAAGAAGAAGAAGAAGAAGAAGAAGAAGAAGAAGAAGAAGAAGAAGAAGAAGAAAAGATGGAGGAGGAGGAGGAGATGGAGGAGGAGAAAGAGATAGAGAAGGAGGAGGAACAAAAATGGAAGTAACTGTTCACAATATCAAGCTTGCTAACCATCTTATGAATATGTTGCTGTGCAAGGAATTTTGGCCTTTGCTAGAGCACAAAGCTCAGAAGTATCATGTGGGCCTATTCTGAATAGTCTGTAAATATGAAAAGAACAGGAACAGGAAGAGGAATAAGAAATGAAAAAGGAACAGGAA